GGGGTAGATCGATATCGCCGGAACGATGAACTCAACATAGACGACGAACACGACAACGGGGGAATTGTGGAACGGATTTTCATAACTCTGATACCACTTATTATGAAAATAGATGCACAACGGAGACACGAATTTTACGTGGAAAACCCTTACGGGAAAAAACCATGGGCGCCGACCGGCAATGATCACTATAGAGGAATTGGATACAAACGCAGGGGATATCGCACCCTCCATGTGCGGCTTACAAGGGATATATATAGGAGAAATCTAGAAGTCCTAATAGGAAACTAATCCTATAAAGTAGAGTACTATTAGATAACTAATCCGAATATATTGTAGGCCTAAAATTCGGATCACATATTTAATACTCTTGGATTTCTAACCGCATTTAACGATCAGGTGAGGTGAGGTGATCCACATTTGTTGCAACAGCTGCTTACATTCTCCAGTACTCACCGAGTTTTCACTCGGCAACAAGGCTACGGCTACCGGTGGTAGTTGTGGCGGTGTACTGCAGCAGTCCACTGACCAGAAAACACTGTGTTGGTTTAGCTTGATACTCAATTAAAGTGGATTTTGTCTCTGGGGGGCACCTCTCGAAGTCTCATCAGTCATCAGTGTGCTGTTCTCGATCGTCTCTCGACTTTTTGACCGTCTGGCCGGGCTGCACAAACCTTGCCGTCGACCCATCACCTCACGTACGAGGATTTGCCTCTGCTCGCGGGCATCATCGTCCATCGTTCATGGACACGACAGCTAGCAGCCAAGTGATAAACGATGCACTCTTCCCAACCAAACGATGTTCTACAGTGTTTTTTTGCAAAATTTTTCACCTGTTTAGAGCATCTCCAAGAGACTTGCTAGATAACTCTTCAAGTTAAAATTTAGCAAGTTTGATGAAAAAATACACTTCAACAGCCTGGCTAATCGGATGGCCAAATCATCCGGCTGGCCAAATTAGCTCCCGGACTGGCCAAACTTGGCCACCCTGCCTCCTTGCCAAAGCCGTTCGCCAACCGTGGGTCCCACGTCGCTTTCCCCTCTCACCCTCACCGCACAGATCGAGTGCCGCATCCCACCACATCGTCGCGCCATTGCCTGTCACCGCCCCGCGCCATCGCCTTCTCCCACCCGTCGTCGCCCTGCGCCATCACCGCCGTACGATTTCCGCCGCCGCCACCGTGAGGGAGGGTGCGCTGGCGACGACGACGAGGGAGGAGCCAAGATGGGGAAGAATGGGCCGCTCTTCGGCGCCGGCCGCCTAACCTCCATCGCCATCTCATCCATCCGTTGCGGCTGCCGTCGTCGTCGAGGTTGCCATCACCATCCACTATGTCGTTGAGGTTGTCGGGGGCGCCGTCGTCTTCGTCGAGGTCGTCGTCGCGAGCCGCCACCGCCATCGCCATCCCCACCCCGAGCTCCGTCGCCGCCACCCCAAATCGTTGTCGCCGTCGCTTGCCAACGCCGCCTCCCACCTCCCCGCGCCACCTCACGCCTCATGGCGCCAGCGCCGCCTCCCGCCTCAGTGTCACCGCACCACCGCGCGCCATGCGTCGGCCGCCGTCGGCAACAGCCTTGTCGACGGGAAGGAAGGAAAGGGGAAAAGAAGGGAAGAGAAAGAATGGGGAGAGAGAGAGAGAGGAAGAAGAGGGGAGAGAGGCTGACATGTGGGTCCGATTTTATTTTGGAGAGGATTAATAGAGAGTCTGTTGGAGTGAGCATCTAGTTTGACTAGCTAAATTAGATGGAGAGTTGGCTATATGGGTGTTTGGAGAGTCCGATTTGGAGAGGCTGTTGGAGATGCTCTTAGGCCCGGTTTAGTTTTCAAAAAAATTTGTTTTGTGATATCACATCGGATATATGGACACATATTTGAAGTGTTAAACGTTGTCTAATAACAAAACAAATTATAGATTCCGCTAGGAAACTGCGAGACGAATTTATTAAGTATAATTAACCCGCCATTAGCAAATATTTACTCTAGCACAATATTGTCAAATAATAGCGCAATTAGGCTTAAAAGATTCGTCTCGTAATTTCCTGACGAACTGCGTAATTGATTTCTTTTGTCTACATTTAATACTTCATGCATGTGTCCAAATATTCGATGTGACATGGTGAAAATTTTTGTTGCAGGAACTAAACAGGGCCTAAGATCCCCTGCCAAAATTTTTTACCCTGTCACATCAAATGTTTGGATACATGCATGGAGTATTGAATATAAACGAAAAAAATAACTAATTATACAGATTGCGCGTAAATTGCGAGACGAATATTTTAATCCTAATTGCTCCATGATTGCTGCTACAGGAAACATTTGCTAATGACGAATTAATTAGACTTAATAAATTTGTTTCATATTTTACAGGCGAAATTTGTAATTTGTTTTGTTACTACTCTACGTTTAATGCTTCAAATATCTGCTATGACATGTCAAGACTTTATACCTATAAATCTACCCAACAAAAAAAAAATCCTCCTACTCTCTGTCTCCCAACCAAACGATGTCTGAATAATGAAAGGAAAAGGCTAGGGGATTCGCTAGATTCCAACTTTTACTCGCAAAAAGGGGTAGGCGATCGTCGCATCCTATGATGACTATCCTACCGTCGTCTTCTTGCAAAGTTGGTGTTGTTGGATTGCACGAGTGCGATGGCGATTTCTCCAATTCTGTATCCCTGTATGGATCTCGTGGGGACAGTCGGTGTCTACACTTGCAGTACAAATTTGGCGACGCGTAGCATAATTGTCTGACACCCAGATATTAGTACTAGCTTGTACCACCATATATGTTATCGCCAGAGCATATTGTACACAAAATTGTATAGCATCTCTGTTTGCACTCGCAGCCCGTACCACCGGTACATATAAACATGCAGGTTTTTAGTACCGTGCCAGTATTAAGGCATCTGAGTAACTCTAACTGGTACCGGTAAAATGATCTCAAGTTTAAAGAATTTGTATACGATTCGACAAGAAAAGCAAAACTTCGTGCAGTTCGGTGTCAGCCCTTGTTTAGTTCCCAACTTTTTCTTTAAACTTCTAACTTTTCTATCACATCAAAACTTTCCTACACACATAAACTTCTAACTTTTTTCTTCAAACTTTCAATTTTAATCAAACTTTCAATTTTAGCGTGAAACTAAGTACACCCTTAATGTAAAATGGATATTTTCCGGCTCTTAAACAGAATTTGACTAAATATTGACTAGCGACATCGGCGTGTAAGGAAGAAAATCAGGTGTCCGATTATATATTATAGAACTGACCTCTGTGAGGGGTATATTCTAGAATCTATACTGTCAGTGGCATAGAACGAAGAATTATCTCTAGTGTAAACTCAAGGAGCAGAGTATCCTAACTTCCCAAGCACAAGGGATCTTCCTGTCTTCAAAAAATCGGCAGCAGAAACCTAGATCGCAGGTACGGCGTGAATTCACTCGAAAGCTTCCATTTTCCTGCAAACTCCAATGCACAATAAACCCCCTCACTGTAGGCTGCGGCTACATACAAGAATCAGGAACCTAATCTTCTGTCGAAGGAAGAGCTAAGATCTTAGGTATAGTTTGGGCCAGAGTAACAACAAACAGCTCAGCACCTCAATTCCATAACAAGTTGTGCAGCGTGTGATACATGAAAAATACACATGCAACCAGCTTCAAGTGGCGTGTGTGTGTGAGTGTGTGACCATCCTGGTTTGTTCGGGGGAAAAAAAATTAAAATGTGGGCAAGTGTGTGTAGCACTATATAGCCATGTCACTGTCACCCTAACCTAGCAGGTACAATAGCAGGCTATAAGCTAGCTATAAACATATTTTGAAGAGAGATAAAAACAGCGGGCTACAGATCTGTAATCGGTTACAGATCTGTAACCAGCTACAGTACAGACTCTAAGACGTAATGTGTGTATGACAGGTGGGACCAGGTATTAATAGTATAATAAGTAACTATTGTATGAATTGGTTATTACATTGGCTATAGATGATTTGAAGTTAGTAGTGGGCTATACTATATATTAATCTCTCATTGGGACCGAGAGATCCCCTAGACGCTAGGAAAAGCAAGCGAGGAAAGCAAGAAATGACTCAAAGGAGACGGTAGCATGCCATGCCTACCCCAACACACGAACATGCATGGCAGAAGAAGGAAGAGCTAATCTTGCAATTGCAGCGGATTCGGACCCCCCCTGCCTCTGTGCCTCGCCCACCCGCTGCTTTGCCCCGTTTTTTTTTTTTCGCTTTTCCGCGCGCGCAACGCAACCGGCGGTGCAGCCTTTCGTACCGGGCGATTTTGCCGGCCGGTGCTCCGTTTTCCTGTGGCCGCGCGCCGCACGCCGGCTAGTACGGCCATCGAGCTCCCTGCCTGCCCTGCCCACGCCGTTTGACCTGTTGTCTTTGAGGCTCTTTGACATTGGTCCGTGATATTCAAGGGGGGTAATTACTGCCTCGGATGATGGAAAATGCTTGATCGCAAGGCATCTCACATGGTCACTCTTCACAGGAGAGAGAAAAGTACAATGAACTGGGAAGTAAAGAGTTCTAATACTACAGTGGCTAGTTAGTATCAAGGTTTGCAAAATCGTATGGTTACTACGTGCGATAATCTTCTCAGTTGCTGAAACCACGATAACAGTGTGGTTACCGCGATAATCACCATACCATGTGGTGACGGTAATTTCACCCAAAACGGTTTGGTGAACCCTGGTTAGTACCCCTTCGCACGATAATATAGAAGTTATTAACAAATTAGATACATCTCTTGTTTAGATTAGTTATACTATGATATGCACTAAGTTTAGTATACTATACTATAGATGAATGACCTAACTACTCCTTTCATCAAAAAATATAAGAATCTAATATCAGATGATATATTTTTATACTATATAACAGGAGTTTTTATATTTTAGACTAGAACTCTAAAATTGATGAGTGAATTGTCACTTTCTATAGATTGCAACAAAATGAGTACTCACCGTATCAGCTTCTTGTGAGTACTCCTGGTCTACTCCATTGCGTGTGGCTTGTCTGATTCTCTCTTCTTCCGTTCTTCTCTATGATTTCTATATAAAAACCCGGCTTGGCGGGGGGTGGCTTTAACTGCCCCACTTCTCCCGCCATAAATGGCCACCACCACCTCCTCCTCCTCCTCCTCGTCTCCCCCTCCGCCGCCGCAGGACCTCGCCGGCGGCGAGCAGCGGCAGCACCACCCGCTCCTCGCGGCCGCCGCCGCCGCCTCCCTCCTCGCCTTCCTCTATCTCCCGCGGCCGCTCCTCCCGCTCCTCCTCTCCCCCGCCTCCCTCTCCTCCCTCCTCGTCCTCCTCTCCCTCCTCCGCCTCGGCTCCCCGCCGCCTCCCCCCGCGGAGGCCACCCCTCCTCCTCCTCCTCCTCCTCCTCCGCCCGAGCGAGCCGTCCCGGAGGCCGCCGATACTCCTCCTCCCCCACCGCCGCCGACGGCGCCGACGCCGACGCCGCCCGAGCTCCCGAGCGTGTTCGTGGAGACGGAGTTCGCGTCGTCGTGGGCGGCGAAAGGGCGCGCGCTGGAGGTGATCCACGAGGAGTTCGAGGCGGAGTGGGGGCCGGAGGAGATGGGCCTCACGTGGACCTCCGACTCCGACTCGGACAGCTACAGCGGCAGCGACGACGACGTCGACGACTACCGCGACGGCGACGGGATGATCGAGATCGAGCTGGAGGAGGACAACCTCATCGAGATCGACATCTCCAAGTGCCGGTGATGATGGATTGCTTACCTATTTTGCCCGGACAATCTTATTATCAGGTCTTCTTCTCTTTTTTTTTCCTTGGGGATTTCTTGGTCCTTTGGGTTTGGTAATTTGATTTCTGACAAACAAATTAAAAAAAGTGTGCTGATTCGGCGTGTGAATTGGAGTTCTTGAAGTTAATTAGACGGCTTGAATTACTGGATTGCTGCAATGTACATATAGGATGGCGAGATACTGAGAGTGGGAAGAAAAAAAATGTTTGTTTGGTTCATCTGAGATTATGATAACTTCAGAATTCAGATCCTACTTCAGTAAGTACTTCTTGTGCTATGTTCGTCACTTGAAATCAAGTCTTGATGATTGCATTTGTCCCCCATTTTATCTGTGAAACCAAGCACTGTGACCCATTTTTTTTTTCATGATGCAATCTTTGAGTCCCACTTAACATTACAAGATTGGAATCCCTTTTTCTCTGAGAAAGTTGTAATGTCTGCAGCAAATTTATAGACTGATTTTGCAATTGTTCGGAGTCTTGATGATGCTGCGTCGATCCCATCTGGAGAAAAAGAGCCCCAGAAATTATTCGTGACTGATTGCATTTGTGGTAGCCTACTTGGTAGGTGGATGTATTGGCGTGGAAGTTGGCTTGCCACATTTGTTCAGACTTCATAACCCAATGCTACACAGTCATCGACCTACTAGCAGGAGTATGTGCATGCCCCTTCTGCAGAATCCAGCTCGAGAAGCAGCTGATGGGAATTCGGCTTCTGAATTCTAGGTTCATTTTCTAGATTGTATCTGTAGCTTCTTAGAATCTAGCTGCACTAATTGCCTGATTAGAGAAGCTTTTGATTATGAAAGAATTTGCTTCTACCAGAAGCTCTCCAAACAGGCACAAAAGCAGACAAGCAGTTGGTTGCATAGTAATTTTTGTTTTTCAGTTTATTTTTGGCTTCTACTTAATACTGCTGTACTACCTTCATTTTAAAATATAGCTATTTCTAGCACAGTGTCTTGTCTCAAAATAAAGCTATTTCTTCACCTACCTTCTTCTCTTAACCAATCACAACCATTCTTCTTCACCTACTTTCTCTTTTCAACCAGTCACATAATTTCTCCAATCATTCTTACTTACTTTTGTCAACCTTAAAAATGGCTATATTTTAGGACTGAGGAAGTAAAATATTGCCATTTCGCATAGTTTCAGCTTTCTGTCGTTCTGCGGTGAACTTGAAGTTTCTGCTTTCTGTCATTTCTGTGGTGAATTCGAAGTAAAATTTGAGTCAAACAGGTCTTTCTCTTTCGTTGTATCTAGCATCCTCACAACCTAGCACAGGATGCATTGCTTTGATGCGCTGTTTTTGTGGAAGAATCTGAAGCTCAAGCATACCGAACCGACAGCTAAAGATCAAGCGCCGTCCCTGTCAAGCCGCACATGAGCATGCACTGCATCGATTCAGCGACCCTTGATCTCGACGGCATCCAAAAATTCAGATATTTCTTTTGGCAGCATATCCGCATAGAATTTCGTAGGTACAGCAGCTGCGCATATCCTGTGTCACACCTAACTGGATTCTTGTCACTGACTGCATAAACAGCGTCCTCTTGTCGAGTACTTCCTCTCTTTTATATTATAAGATGTTTTTTTTTCTGAATATATTTATGCATGGATACATATATATGCTTTGTATATATGTTTAAATTTATACAGATGTTAATAAATTTAGATGAGGGATGAAGGGATCAAAATATCTTATAGTGTGGATCGGAGGGAGTAGGAGTACATGCATTATAGACTTTCACAATGATCTGTGCAGAAAAAGAGAATGGAAAAAGTGAGATTGGAACATGGCAGTGAGCTTGCAGCTTGGCCCCGGTTGGAGGTTGGGTGGTCCGTGGTTAGGTCCACCGTCCACCGAACTGCTTCGCCTGATTCGGAGATTGGGCCTCCATGTCAGGTTTTGGCCCATGAGATGTTTTGCCTCGGTTGGTGGGTTCAGGCATTCAGCCCATTTTTGGTGTTGGATGCTACTACTACATTAAGGAATAAGTTCACTTTGACTCTCTTAAATGTGACCCGAATCTAATTCATAACCCTAAACCGCAAAACCAGATATCTTGACCCCTAAACTGTTAAAACCGGTGCAATTTGACTCCCTCAGCGGTTTTGGAGGGTTGTTTTGCTGACGTGGCGCCTACATAGCGATATTGACTGAGTCTTTGTTCCACGTGGCAATTACGTGGTATTAGAATTAAAAAAATATGTGGGACCCATTAGTCATTCACACAATAAAAAATTAAGCCTACTGACATATGGGACCTCCCCTGTCTCCTTCCTTCTTCCTCCTGCCTCTCTCCCTTCTCTCTCTCCCCCAATGCGCTGCAGCGCCTCGCCGCATCCGTGCTCGTCGTCGGCGCCAGCCTCGCCGCACCTCCTGCCAGCTGCTCCGCTTCGGCATCCGCGTGCTCATCCTAGAGGGTCGCGCCCGCCCAGGCGGCCACGTACTACTTTACCAAAAGTTTAGTTTCCAATCTAGTACTGTACTGATGACTGAATTTATCATCCTTGAGCCTGTATTATTCTACCCCTGAATTGTACTGTATGAGACTGTCAGTCACTCTGGTTATATTACAGTTTTTCGTTCTTTTTATTTGAAAGGTTTTGTATGACAGATTTTAGAGGCCATGTCTGAATATCTGCACCTATTTCCAGCAGACTCTTCAATGCCACGGGGTTCAGAATCTTCGGTTCGCATTTCCATCACACGGGAGAAGAGCAGAGCACGGTGCAGTGATGAGCTGCAGAAGCGTCGTCGTCGGCTTCGGCTGTACAGCACGGTGGCGCACCGGCGTTGGTGGCCAGCGGCGGTGGCCCGGTGTGAATATCGTGCGCCGCGTCGTCGAGCGGCTGACGCTGTCAGCTTTGCACAGCCGACAGTTTTGTCTCGTTTGCTTTTACTGCATTTTTTGTCGCGGTTCTGCACTGACAAGTCTGAAGTCTAGAACAGGGGGTGTTTGGGAGAGAGGATCATAAGTCTTATGGGAGGGACTTATGTATAGCCGCCCAAACACCCCCTAATTTTAGCATGGGTCTATCCTGAACACTGTGTTAGGTCTTTTCTTAGTTCCTAACTTTTATCTTTAAACTTTTAACTTTTCCATCACATTAAACTTTTCTACACATATAAACTTCTAATTTTTCCGCCACATCGTTCCAATTTCATCAAACTTTCAATTTTGGCGTGGAACTAAACAAAGACTTAGGCTGTATTTAGTTCCACGCTAAAATTAGAAGTTTGACTAAAATTGAAAGTTTATGTGTGTAGAAAAGTTTTGATGTGATGAAAAAGTTAGAAGTTTGAAAAAAAAAGTTGATAACTAAACCAGGCCATAGTGTGTCTCAAAGCTCAGAGGAAGTGCTACCAGAAACTGGAGTTGATCGCTTGATCGTTCATGGCGGAGTCAGATATGGTGTACTTCTTGCATATTACGGCCAAATTATCATGCCGTGGCAGGATGTCATTTTCAGAACAAATCCTCGACAACTTTTTAGCAGCATCCAAACTGAATTCCCTTTGAGGAAGATGGGAGTTATTTCCCCTTCGAATTTTCAGCTTTTCATCGCATCAACTACAATTCACGTGGAAAGAGGATCTGCCCTTTCTTTGCAAAATGTTGGGTTGCGTCAGATACAAGGATGAAGGATTCTTACGAAAGTTGAAGGGGAAATAATTCCATCTCTTAAAGAGAAAATACTCTTGTTTTTCCATGCTATAAAATAAAATAAAGTAAAATAAAAAATATGAATTATTTTTACAACATACTCCCTCCGTCAAAAAAAAAAAAAAGGCAAACCCTGGATTTCTGTATTCAACTTTGACTGTCCGTCTTATATGAAATTTTTTTATAATTCGTATTTTCATTGTTGTTAGATGATAAAATATGATTAATATTTTATGCGTGACTTGTCTTTTAAATTTTTTTTCACAATTTTTTTAAATAAGACGGACGGTCAAACGTTGGGCATGGAAACCAGGGTTTGTCTTTTTTTTTTACGGAGGGAGTAGATTAATATGTAATATATCGCTTCACAACAAACAAGTTCAAATTTGATATTTATAAATTATAAAAAATAAGCATGTATTTGTTTTCGTATAACTTGTATATATTGAATTTATGTTATATATTGGTCCATCTTATTATTCTTTTTAGATTTTTTAGACTATCTATTACATACTAAAAGTCCATTAAACTTCCTATAAACACTCTCATACCGCCAAGTGGCACCCTATAAACGCTCTCAAGTTGTCAAGTGGCACTCTAATAAATAAAAATCCAACCATCTATTGTTTGGATGGTTAGATCTATTTTGTAAAAAAAAACATCTGAAACCAACATATACGGTACCAACGTACAAACGTACGTATCTACTGTACTGTACGTACTTCCCTTCTGTCTTTCCTTTGTTATTTTCTATTTTATGAGAAACTAAAATCAAAATTATTCTTATAGGCAAAAAAAATTACAATTAGACCAACTACTAGGTCTAGCAGCCCTCCCTCCGTCACTTTAAATATCCTACGAACGCTTTTAAATCGCTACGTGGTGCTATTAAATTAGAGAAAGTATTAAAAAATCTTAAAAAATACAAAGAAGCCAACATCCAATTTCTACTTAAATTGATGGATTTAGGTTGTTAGATTTTTTTAATAAAAAATCCCAAACCTCTCTCTCCACCCCCTTGCAGTGTTAAAAACCATTACACATTTTATAAACACCTTTAACTACTATATTTAACATACTTAAATTAAATAAAATCTTAGAAATTTCAAAAAAAGACTATTATATACTAAAAGTTCATTAAATATCCTATAAATACTCCTAAGCCACCAAGTGGCACCTTACAAACGCTCCTAAGTTATCAAGTGGCACTCTAATTTGACCATCGTTTTTTTATTTAAATCAGTGATCTGTTATTTTATTTTAGAAGGTTAGATTTTTTTTTTCTAAAAAAAAAAGCACACATCCGGATCCTCCCCATCACGAAGGTCCCAACAAGCTATCTTCATGACAAATTAAAATCAAAATTATTTTTACATTAAGAAAACCACAAATAGAGCTCCACCGATTAGGTCTAGCAACTCTCGCTTTGTCACTCTAAACATACTACAAATGCTACTAAGCTGCTGCATGGTACTACTAAATTAAAGAAAATACTAGAAAATCCTAAAAACACACAAAGCATTCTGTATCTATTTGTTAATTTTCTAATAAGAAGACAACCCAAACCTTCCTCCCTCCCTCCCATCCTCATGCGGTGTTAAAATTTATCAAACATCTTATAAATGCTTCTAATCTGCTATATGACGTTCTTAAATTAAAGAAAAATCTTAGAAATTTCGGAGAAAAAAATATTCCAACAATCGAATTTGACATAAATCGATGGACACATAATTTTAGGTCATTAGATATATTTTTTTAAAAAGAACACCCTAAACCTCCTTCGCTCCCTCCTTTTCAGCATACGGTGTTAAAAGTTCATTACACATCTTCTATATGCTCTTAAGAAAACAAAACATCCAACCATCGGTTTCGACATAAACATCTGACACATTATTTTAGGTTGTTACATTAATTATTTAGAAAACGTCCCAAACCTCCCTCCCTACCTGTGTACAACGTGCACCATTCTTCTCTCTATTTTTATCTCCTTGACAATTAAAATTATCCATATGGGCCAAAAAAACACAAATGGACCTCCATCTATTACTTATATCCCGTTAGGCATCTAACCACTTTGTACCAACTTAATTAATTTCTCTTAACATGCATATGAAGGCTACGAACCTATACAAATTGACCTTGATACTTTTAAAATAGTCTTTTTAGGAGATAAATAAATACTTTTAAGAGAGATGATCATAGTGTCCGAATTACACATATGATCTATGAAGTCACTAATCATAGCAGGTATTTATCTAGCAATATAGACAACATGTTGGAAAGTGTGGTTGGTTGAACATAGCATGTGGGTTGTACCTAGAAATCTTAACAGCGGAACAACCTTGCAGTGGCCTTAGCAATAAATCAAGTCAGTTCCTTATAGGAATTAAAGACCATGTCCATTTTTTTTATTTTTTTGTTAAACTTGCTGCAGTACATTGTAAAGTTTTGACGTAGAACAATCTAGAAACATATGTTTGTTATAAGACAATCCACTTTGATCAGCTAAAGATACTATGACCATTACTTCAATATTTCATGAGAGAAAATTTAGAACGTATGTCTTTACCCCCATGCCAAGTTATATGCACTAATATTTTCGTCCCAAATTGGAAAGATCAAATCATTTCAAGGATAATTCATAGAATGAAAGTATCCAAAATAAAAAATAAAAATGGACATAAAATAAATTGAAAATTGAACAAATGTCGCTGGATTTAAAACCCATATTTAATAAAAAAATTCAAACATTTTACAAGGACCGTGAGAATGAAAAAAATATATATAATTTTAAAATACAATCAAACAAAAAAATATTATTCGATTTCTTTTGGGGTTGTAAGATATCCTTCTGACGAGTTAAAATACCCTAAATTTTCTCATAGAAATCACCTCCAATGTTTCGACACAATATTTTCTCATCAATTCAAAACCGCATGATCTCAAGTAATTTTATTTTAGAATTTATATATAGCAAGGATAATTATAAAAAGAATAACCAGTGTCCAAAGCACACAAAATAAGTTTAATTTTAGTTTCCACACGCACAAAAATATTCGTAATAAAATTTTTCTCACATTATATAAGAAGGTGCCCGCGCATGTGCGCGGGCTACCATTCTAGTTTAAATAACAGGTGCAAAATGAAGAGATATCCCTTAAGGAATGGAAATTCACTATTCACCTCCAAAATTGTAGCATGTATATATATTCTTATTTATCTCCGTCGTTAAAAAAAAAACGACTTGTGGGAATGGTTCTGGACAAGAGACGGAGGTAGTATGTGTTTTGAGTTGTGATTCTCTCTATGCATGTGCACTTGAATTCAGAATTGTCTCATGTGTATCTTTCTTTGTTTTTGTCTGAACAAGCAATTGCATCAGGACATTGTAAGGCATTTCCAATTTTTCTGTCTAATGTTTTCTGCTAGATGATTTGTACTCTCAAACCTAAAAAATATTCTTGGCTTCATCCATTCGTCTGCCTCGCTTTCTTGAGTGCATACCGATCTTGTGTTGGGATTGAAGCAGAGCATGTGAAATGGCCTTGATGCAACAAGTTAATCACTTTTCTATTGCCAAATGTACCAGGTACTTGATTGAACTCCTTGGGCTGTTTATTGGCTGTGAAGAAATCATCAAAACAGCCCACTACAGTTTATTTAAAACTTATATAACCCTGCTTATAGTTCACGGTAGCATCACTTGGACCCCAAAGATCCTGTGCACAATTAATATTGTTCTAAGAACAGTGTGGCCTAGGTTTCATCAATTTCGGATCTCGATTATTCATTCTATTCCATGATCTTGCTTCATGATCTGGCATGTTGTCACCAAGAATATTATCTTTTTTTCAACTGCAATAAAGTAATAGCTAAACAAGCAATCTGAATTAAAAAAGTTATTGACATTTATCTACGTATTACAGTATTATCTACGTATTTAGCAACAGATAAGAAAATCTTTAGAAATTATCATGTTAATTGGAGGAAAAGAAAAATATCAACATGGTTGATTGTGGCAGCACTCATAGCCGCATTATATTGATTTATTATAAATTATAGTAACTCAGTTACTTCATATACAAAAGTAAACTTATTTTATAATGGAGGTAGTTATTGTTATAGAATTGTACAACAATATGTTTGAAACAACTATATAGCAATAAACAACCCATGAACCGAGCGTAACTCAATTGATTAGATTCCTTCACTTCCTTGTGATAGAACCTACTCATCCGGATTCAAGTCCTAAGCTGACATGCATGGGTGCTTATATTTTATATTTAAGGCTAATTATTCTTTCAAAGAAGATAATGTACCCATTGACATCAAGACACCTATGGCGACTTCATCAATATAAGATATGCTAGTTAGAGCTTCTAAAAAAATATTAATACTCATGTGAAGAAATAATATAGATCTTTTATTTTTGGAAAACACTAAAGGATGGAGCTAGTCCCTGTGACCACGCGTGGTATGCGTAACTGCGCGAGGCGCGCAGCCAACACTCCTCCCCGATAACGAGCTTGTTCGCACCAGGAACGGCACAAGTGACGGTGGTATGGGAGCAGATGTCACGAAGAGGTCCTTCTACGTGCCGAGGTGGTGGACCTCAAGCTGCCCTATCTCCTCTCCCCCTCTTAACTCAGGTCTGACACCAATGGGTATCAGTTGGTACCGATTGATCTGCTTGGTACTAACAAGTACCAGATCTGGCATCGATGAGTACCAGATATGACACGTATATAGGATCATCATGTCCGGATGGAATGACATTGCTATAGCGGTCTCTTTTTTCTTTGTTTTGAGAAACGTCAAGGGGTCTTCTGGCTAACTCTACAAGGTGGTGTGCTAGATGATCTGGGTTCAAAGCCTCACCCCTTCTAATTATTTGATATTAAGTCCTTCCCTAATATTCGTGTCTTTTATAGCGGTCTCTTTTTTTTCTCTTTACTCTGATTGATGATATATAAACAGCCAACTCAATTACTAGTAGTAAATGGACCCTTGTGAATTCCGATCAATTCTACTACCATTTCTACCTGTAGTAGTACTCGCTTGACAATCCTCGATAAGGCACAAGTCTCCGATCCTTAACTTGAACTAGCAACACTAATGAAAAGTTGGATAGAGTGCTAAACTGCTAATGAACACTAAAGATGGTTCATAATCCATTGGTTCGAAAGACGCATGGTTCATTGGATCATGAAGCAGCCAGGGACAATCTGCGACAACTCAAGTATGTATGAATGCATGATGGATCAATGGTTGGTGGCTGTTTGCTTTCAGTTGGTTAAATGAAGCTAACAAACACTCTCCATAAGTTTGCCAATAATGTTTTTGCTAAACTTCAGCAGTACTGGCCCAACTATGTCGATCTGTCTCTCTTGGCTTTTCATAGTGAAAGGCAGCTACCACACAATCTTACTAAAGATGGTAAAAGCAATGCAAGGATCAGATTTGAGTAACACCCTTGTGTTACTTTGGATTACATGCCTTTTTCTTAACCTATTCTTGAGTAATTAATAGGGACCATTGGATGGCATCAACTGTCAAAGTTTGTCCTTTCTAATCATGGTTGTTTCAGCATTAACTGCATTACATCTTTAGACATTTCTAGCAGTGTTGTGACAAAAGCATTGAGCCACTCAAAGCACCTACAGAAGCAGGCCCTAGGTTTGACAATTAGAGGCCAAAATCTTTTCCGATGATCCATGTCAATTCAAGTCAATGCATTCCAGCAATTCAGCAGGAGATATTGGCTTACAAACTTTATTCTTCTCAAGAAAGTGGAGCCTTTTCTTGTTCATGAACAAACTTTTGATACTGCATTCTAGTATGACTTAGCCTTTTTCTTTTTCTTGATCTTCTTTTCTTCTTCCTAAACATTAATTTACTAGCGACATTGGTACTTTGTCACATGCAACTACTTTTCTTGGGACCAAAAAACTTTAGGTGTGCACTTTGTAAGCCACTAGCTATGATGAGAATTGAAGAGTAAATTCAGCAATCACGTGTTGCAAGTAAATCACTCTCTTTTCCACTCCACCTTACACTGCCTTGTCCATTTGTCCAAACCATGTAATGGTAGTACTACGTATTTGTAGAAGTATTAATCCAAGATTCTGAAGATAAAACAGTGTCGGCTAGAATTTGATGGTCTTCTGTTTCCTGGCCAATTTCCAGTGGTCCCATTCTGAACTTGATTTATTTTTCTATATGGAGATATGGCCTCTTATCCTTCTAAAGGGCAGAACAGTACTAGTATATCATTTCAAGCATACGTGACCACTACAATTGCAATTGGAAGAAACAATTATTGATTTTATCACTAATATTCTGCATGTCTACAGTTGCAGTCATGTGGAAGAGGGGAGAACCCCAGCTTGTATGGGCTCATAGAATCCAACAAGAAGAATCGACTGTGACAGTGCAAAATCATGACGAGCTGGACTCATTTCTGCTCTCTGATGGAATGTTTTGATCTTCAGTTCGCTACAGCTTCAGAAATCACAGTGACCTGGGCATGCATGATGCATGAACACTGAACTGAAACCAATTGGCTAGCTACTAGTTATTTGCCTCACATGACTGAAAATTCTTCAGATCTTCAGAAAGAAGAAAAAGAAAGGGCCTTTTTCTTCTCAGCAAGGGCAAGCCTCCTGTGTGCTTCGTGTGATCTTTGCCATGCAAATGAGCAAATTTTTGTTCATCTTTTCTTCTTCTACTCTCTTTCTTCCTTCACATCCACCCTATCCATGCTACCTAAAGTATACTAAAGTTAGCTTCTCTCGTGAGAGACAGCACAGCTAGCCCCCATGGGAGGTGCAGCCAAATGAAGAGCTCACATGGGCGCCAAAAAGGACAAGCTAAGCTACCACCCTGATGGATTCCCAACGCCGAGATGAGGAGATTGATATGAAATGTTGTTCTAGAATATATGTTTGCAAGCTCACCGATGAATCCTCCAGTCACTTGGCCTCTTTGGCATCGAGTGGCATGCAGCTTCAGGCTTCAGAAGTTTCAGATTTTCAGTGCACATTTGCATGCTTGCTCAGTGGCTCATGATTCCTGTGACTGAGGCCTGGGCTGTGCTCCTGTTGACCTGTGACACTATTTGATCGCCTTTGCCATGATGCCCATTCGGTGGTGAGTAAACTGGATGAACCTGTGCCCTACTTGCTAGCTGCATCTGAAATTACTACATCCAAGCTGTAAATTGTAATGATGTTACGCTTTTTCCCGTGATCTTGCATGCAGGGTTTGGGTTTTTTTTAGTTGTTTGTTGACACATGGGAGAATGATTGTAGGGGGTGGATTGTGTTATTATACATCACTTGACTAAAATAAATCAACTGAACTATTACTTACAAGTGGATCTTACAGTAGGTTCGGCTCATGTGAAGAGTTTTCTCTATCGCCAGCTTTCTCCATTGTCTCGTCGTTTATCTATTAAAAAAGGAATTGCTAAATAGCATTTTACAGAAAATCTTGTAAATTTCTGACCTTATGATTGCTTCACGTTTTGTGCATCGGCGACCTCTGCAACTCCTCCAATTCTGACGATGAGTTAGGGTTTAGGGTCTCGGGTTGGGGTGAGGGAGGGAGATAGGGGCTAGGCTTAGAGCGATGACCGTGGGAGGCGACGGCCCAGCGGCGGGTGATGGATATGGGCGGGTGGCAAGGCGTCGGCGATGGTGCCGAAGCCTCAGGGATGTAAAAGGGCGGCAGGGCGCCGTTGGTGGTGAGGCAAAGCAAAACTTGTAATGAGGAGGCGGATCGGGTAATGGGGATTCACATGTCTTGAGGAAGGGAGGATGGGGGAGGGGGAAGGGTGCTCACTAGCACCGTTGATACCCTCCAGGCTCTGGCCAACCGAGAGGCGGCATGGTGGGGCGGTGGTGACGGCAGCCGAGAGTATCTAGCAAGTAGCACTCGATCCCAATTCATCATGGCCATGCTGGATAGCTGAAGCGAGGAGGGGTAGGCTTAGGTTTAATGTGTATTGCACGAATCTTTAAATTATTCGATGGTTCAAAATTCGAATATTTTTAGTCGGGTTTTATGTCAAATACCATACCATAATAATGACGGTCCCTCAAAAAAAAATGTCATTGTTTGGCTGAATTTGCATTCGTACTTGCTACTAGTGCTCATTGGAGAAGCCATGTCCTAGATCGGATTAATTCAAGTTTTTAAGCAAAGGTTAAGTACAAATTTAAGGTATCTCCAGCATTGTATTCCTGCAGGTGTTATTGCACTAGATCTTTGAAGCAAAGGATTAGTTGGGCCTTGGTTCCCCGTAACTCTCTCAGCACAGCCGTAGGGTCAGGAGTCTTCAAATTTATCATTTAAAGTTTATTTGTATGTCTATTTCATTTTTACATGTTTTGACTGACGATAAAAGATAATAATTCACACTTCAACATACTCTTCCAATTATCCGTGAGCATGGGCTCGCTCAGGCCTTAGAACAACATACGATTGGTGGCTATAATAATTTTCCGTGTTTAGATTTCTAAGTTGGAATTCAAATTAAACTTGAAACCTCTTAGCATTGTAGCATGTTGAAATGTATACACCATGCTAGAATTCAAATTCGAACTCTGAAATATAAACGACTCTTGTTAATTAAAGTTAGTGGGGGTAAAGTAACTTAGAGTACTATGTACACAAGCAAGATGAGTAAATGACCTGTATTGGATAAAAAAAGTTTGGGACAACGTACTAGGGACCTAACACAGTACATGTGTGTACACCCATTTCTTTCTCTCTTTTTTTGCCAAAGAAAGGTAGATAGATGCAAATGTGAGATGAAGACTTAGAGTAATTTATTTTAAGAAAAAACTATAAATATCTTGACAAAACTATCATAAAACTATAGACTATAAGCCATGATACTTTAAATTTAAATTACACATTTAACTTTACATGTATCATGAAACTATCTTTAAGCCATGGTATATAGCAAATAAACATATTTATCACATAGCGTGGTAAAATTGGTGGCAAAAAAACCTGTTCATCCGGAGAATGTTGACTATTTTGATAAAGTTGGGGAGCTTGAAATTAACAAAAGTAAAGTAAAATACTTAACTTTTCATACTGCTAATATTGCCTTCATAGTAAATTGATCAATCATTTGTTATGCAATAAAAACTATACGTTACAAGGCAAATAGAATATATACTCCCTCCGTCCCATAATGTATAGCACGAGATCCTAGGACTATAGGATGTGATTATACCTATCCTAGAACTACGAATCTGACATGCCTCATGTCCAGATTCATAGTCCTAGAATAAAATCTCATCTTAGATTGCTATATTATAGGACGGAGGGAGTATTAGATATGTTATGAGTATATAAGAAATATAAGTATGATACCACGGTCTTTTTATAAAAAACAAATCTCCCCATAACAAGGCTACTGTGCTGATCGGCGCTAAGACAGAATATTAGCGTTGTGACATTAACATAGACAACTATTTTTGTGCTTTTTCACCTGCCAATTACCAAACAAGTACGTACTCCCTCCGTTTTAAAATGTTTGACACCGTTGATTTTTTTAGCACATGTTTCACCGTTCGTCTTATTAAAAAAAATTATGAAATATGCAAAACTATATGTATACATAAAAGTATATTTAACAATGAATCAAATGATATGAAAAGAAAAAATAATTACTTAAATTTTTTGAATAAGATGAATGGTCAAACATATGCTAAAAAGTTAACGGTGTCAAACATTTTGAAACGGAGCGAGTATATAGTACTACCACAGTACTACAACCAAAATCAATCCTTCAGATCATTTTACCACCGTCCGTTCATAACACCCATGGCTTTGGCACCACACGACACAATCTGCGTACGCGCAGCATTTTTTCGGGTGTGTCACGCGATCTGTACCCGAGGCGGCGAGCCACGCCAAGCGCAGCGCGCGTCCCGCCACGCCACCCCACTGTTTCATTCCCTCGTGGCGCGCTTCCTTCTTCTCCCGCGCCCGGCGCCCGCACCGAACCAAACCTCGCCGATCCCCAGGTCAGCCTCCTCCTCCTTCGTCCTCACTCCACTCGCACGCTGGCGCATCTCCCCACGACGGTGGGCGCCACCGCCCACCTCCATTAACCCACCACCACCACCATTGCCAGTTACAGCTATCACACGTACTTATACCTCCGCCGCTTCTTCCTCTTCCCTCCCATTTCGCGCATTTGCAAGAATGCGTCGTTGAGCTTAGCGGGTGAGGTGGTCGGAGGCATGGGAGAAGAGGCGGCGACGGCGGCGGCGGCGGAGCGAGATGAGCAGGGGAGTGTCACGGCGGCGCTCGACGCCATTACCGGTTTGGTGTCTGCCTCCTTGGCCGCTTCGCTCTTCCCGTACAAGTGGCAGCTCATCAGGGACAGGCTCAACCGGCTCCACGCCGGCCTCGCCGACATAGCCACCGGCGGCGGTGAAGGCGGCGAGGGGCATGGGGCGTTGGCGGGGGTTCTTGGGGCGGTGGTGGAGACGGCGAGGGAGGCGTCGGAGCTGGTGCCGAGGAGCCAGGGGAGGCACTACGGGGGAGGGAAGCTGCGGCTGCGGAGCGACCTCGACGTCGTGGCGGGCACGCTCGACGCGCTCGTGGCGCGGGTGGACGAGGTGTACGCGTCGGGCGCGCTGACGCGGGCGCGGGCGCTCGTCGTGTCGAGGCCCTGCGCCGGCGCCAGCCGCGACGACGTGCGGTTCTACGTGCGGGACCTGTTCGCGAGGCTCAGGGTGGGCGGCGCCGAGATGCGGGGGGAGGCCGCCGCCGCGCTCGCCGAGGTGCTGCACGACGACGAGAAGTGCGTCCGCGTCGTCGTGTCCGACGTCGCCGACGGCGTCTGCGTCCTCGTCTGGCTGCTCGAGTGCCCCGACGCCTGCGTCCAGGAGGAGGTCCTGGAGGCCGTCTCCGTGATCGCCGGGTTTGAGGCTTACAGAGGCGACCTTGTCGTCGGCGGCGTCATCGCTCCGGTGATCCGTGTCCTCGACAGTGCCGGGGACAGGCCCTCGGCGAAGGAGCGGGCGGCGCGGTTGCTGTGCAAGCTCACCGAGAACTCCGACAACGCGTGGGCCGTCGCCGCGCACGGCGGCGTCACGGCATTGCTCAACGTCTGCGCCGACTACACCGCCAGCGGCGGCGAGCTCGTGTGCGCGGCTTGCCGTGTGCTGAGGAGCCTCGCCGGCGTCGACGAGATCAGAAAGTACATGGTGGCCGAGGCCGGCGCGGCTCCGGTGCTCGTGTCGCTCTGCCGGGGCGCCGCGGACGAGGCGGCGCAAATCCAGGCGATGGAGCTCCTCGCCGCCATCGCCTCCGGCGACAGCTCCGTCAGGGAGGCCGTGCTCCAGGAAGGCGCCGTCGAGTCCCTGGTCAGCGTGCTCGACCCGGCCTCCCCGCGCTCCTCCAAGGCGCGGGAGGTCGCGCTCCGCGCCATCGACGCGCTCTGCCTCTCCTCCCCACCCTTGACATCCCGGCTCGTCGCCGCCGGCTTCCTCGACCGCGTCCTCGTCTTCCTCCGCAGCGGCGACGCCACGCTGCAGCACTGCGCCCTGAAGGCGGCGCACCGGCTATGCCACGCCTCGGAGGACACCAAGAAGGCCATGGGCGACGCCGGGTTCATGCCGGAGCTCGTGAGCATCCTCCACGCCGCCAAGTCGCTCGAGGCGCGGGACATGGCGGCGGAGGCGCTCTGCGCCATGGTGTCCGTGCACCGCAACCGGAAGCGGTTCGTCCAGGAAGACCGCAACGTGGCGCAGGTACTGCAGCTGCTTGGCCCCGACGACGAGAAGCTCTCGCCGGCGAAGCGCTTCTTGCTCTCCACCCTGATGCACCTCAGCGACAGCACCTCCGGCCGCCGGAAGATCATGTCATCGGAGCATCTCAGGTAACCAACAAATCCTCAAACAAATTCTCGCCAAATTCCTCGTTTTCAAACACTAATGGTCATCAAATTGGGTCCGAAAATGGCAGGAATCTCGAGAGGCTAGCAGAGACGAACGTGACGGACGCCAAGAAGATCGTGAAGAAGCTTGGCGGGAGCAAGCTCAGGAACATCTTCCATGGCATCTGGAGCCTGCAGAAAGCTTGACGACGACAAGAACCAGCTCACCGCTAGTACTATACTACTGCTCGTATGGCCTTAGCTAACACACATGTTCGCCTCATGTTTTTTTGTAACCGTGAATGGACGAATCAATCCCAAGTGTATTCTACTACTCCACTCGATGATGAATTCTTGATACTCAGAGAACTCATCACTCATCCTCTGTGTATACTAGCTCATCTCATCCGTGTCAAATAAAAGTACAAAAAAAAAATCCATTCGAGAAAGCAATTTCATGCTGTGAATGGCATCTGCAATTCAAGAAAGTAATTTCTCATTATGCATAAGATGATGATTTTCCTGAGCATATTCCCTGCAGTATGATTTGAGGAGGGGGCAGGATGGGTCGTCATGAACTCGATTGATGATGGGAAAACCAAAACACTGTGGATGTAGGATGGCGAACTCGATCGATCATTCATTCAGAGCTTGCACAATTGCAGTTGTAGGGTCGACTCGGCGTTATGATCTTTTTTGCAGTACCACTGGGCACAGTGCCGATGCGTTATGATCTCAATAACTTGGCCGCTTTCTTCACCCAACATGCAGATATACTTATTGCACGCTTCATCGATCGGCATATGGCCTTCTTTTCTCTGACGAACTCCGTTGCCATATGCTCCTGAAGGCTGAACTGCAGCTTGTTAAGGCTGTGTTTAGATCCAAAGTTAGGATCCAAACTTCAGTCATTTTCCATCACATCAACCTGTCATACACACACAACTTTTCAGTCACATCATCTCCAATTTTAACCAAAATCTAAAGTTTGCGCTGAACTAAACACAGCCTAAATGTAACCGTAACCGAGTGTGTTGTGCTACTGCATTTCTGGTCAAAGGAAAGCAGGTTGCAGATTCCAGATTCCCTGCCTGATCTTGGAAGATGCTGCAAGCCTGCAATTCTGCAAGGCTTGATGAGTCATTTTCTATTGTTCCTTTATGCTGGCAAAAGGCAGGGAAGGAAACTGACGCGGTGAAGTGAAAGATCTTATCGTCAGTTTCTCTTCAGAATCCGAACTGTTCCAGGCTTCCAGCATTTATCGATTTATCGATTCGCTGAAGTAACCAATCCTTTTTTTTCTTGCGTTGCTCGTAGTTCGCTGTCAGGGACTAACTGAACGGATGAGACACAGTTAAGCACGTACTAGACCATCTCATTAGTATGATCGCTGCATTTCCCGGATCCTGTCCCCCTCTGAACCCAACATGTCAACTAAAAACACTGTAGTGGCATTCACTTGCTTCAAGCTTCGGACAAGATCATTCAGCATGACGGATGTGAGCCGAGATAGCAGCTGCCCAACCTCTTTAAACTTTTATCACATCGCTTCTGACATTATAGTGGTAGAGTGATGGACAAATGAAGCAAAGATACATGGCATATTTGTGTAGCCAAGACTCTTTTTTTTCTTCTTTTTTGACTGTGGTTAGTTTGTTCGTTGGTCATCAGTCAGATGAGCTACCTTTTCAAGCAGATAACACAAAGCGCGCTACCTTTTTTTTATGCAGCCATTACTAAGCAAAACAAAGAGGTTTAGTGTAGTAACAATGGGAACATCCTTGGTGAATGCTAATGGTAAACTAGACTGTCTTGTACTTTTCCATTGCCTCGTCAGTTGCATTGTGGCTTTGGTCCTGATGATAAGCAAGATGTCTCCCAAGGAAGTTGCATTTGAGGGGCCTTTTTCTGAAGCAACCAATATTGTTTTGTTTAAAACGTCAATGCAGGATTCTGTATGTGTTTTATGTATAGATTAACCACAAAAAAGATGTCATGGAAGACCGTGAGATGATTGTTGAGTTAGGTTGCCTACCTCATTGACAAGGTTATTTGCTGGAGTGTTTATTTTTCTTTTCTTGTCTTCTGTTTATGTCTGCTTTAGTCGCTTGACGACCTCAACGAAGACCAAAACTAGGATAATATAAAAGTCAGCGGTAGTTTGGCATTTGGGCTTGGAAAAATCAACCAGGTGTTTCACCTTAGAGAAGGACTTGTACTGTTGTGCAACGCGCCGTAATTATAAAATTTAAAAATATTACGATTCGCAATATCAGCGAAAGCGTTTGTAGTCCAACGGTTAGGATAATTGCCTTCCAAGCAATAGACCCGGGTTCGACTCCCGGCAAACGCAAATTTTTTGGCGGAATGGGCTAAAACCATTTTCCTTTCTGCAAAATGGGCCGGGATTTCAGCCCATTCAAACTAGGACTGAGTAGTTGGAAAAAGTACACGCTAGGTCCCTCAACTTATTAGCCAGATACAAAATCGTCCCTCAACCACAAAACCGGATATCCGGTGTCCCCAACTTACAAAACCGGTCACAATAGGTCCCTCGGCGGTTTTGTCCCACGTGGCGGTTGACTCAGCGTGGGCCCCCACATGTCAGTATGACATGTCATCTTCTCTATGTCCCCTCTTTTCTCGTCTCTCTCTTCAATCTGTTGCTCGGCGTGGCGAGCCGGCGAGGCGACGGTGGTCGCGACTCCGGCGGTGAAGGGCGGTGGCCGGCCCAGAGCTCGCCGGGGCAAGACAGGAGAGGCGACGCGCGAGCTCAAGACGTGTTTCTCCGGACAACTCCACGCGGAGACGGCGCCGGGCTGTGGGCGAGAGCGGCGATGGGCGGGCGGCAGGCGAGCTCCAAGTCACTCCGTGCGCGCCGCATTACCGGGGGCGCGACGACTTGTGGGTGTGGGCGGCCGCCCTCCTCTGGCTTTGCCCCCTACTCCCCGCACAACGGGTGCGGACTGGGCAGCGATGACGACGACTCGCCCTCCTCATCTCCCCGTCTCCCTCCGGCCTCCTCTCCCACCTCTCCCGCCAGTGCGGTCGGCTCTCCCCCACTCCCGCGTTGCATCCAAATCGAATTGAGATTTGAGATAGTGAGAGAGCACCATTTGAGTTGAGATGGACGACGTTGGCGGCGGGAAGGTGAAGAAGGCGGCGGGCGGGAGGAAGGCCGGCAGGCCAAGGAAGAAGGCGGTGACGCGCTCCGTCAAGGCCGGGCTCCAGTTGCCCGTCAGCCGTATCGGGCGCTACCTCAAGAAAAGCCGGCCGGTTGATCTCCTCTCCGCCGCTTCTTCCCCATCGGCCGCGTCGACCCTCTTCCACGCCGCGTCGATGATGCCACCGACCCTCTTCCGCACCGCGTCAGTGACGCCGCTACTGCCACTGCCGCATCGGCCCTCCTCTCCGCATCAGTTATGATGGCCGCAGCCGCGCGCTGCCATCTCCGACCGCACGAGGGGGACGGGGAGGCCGGCGAGCTCGCACCGCCCTAAGTCCGCGCGCCGCCACCCAGGAGCCGCCGTTGCTGGCTGCACCACCCTTCGGCCGCGCGCGCCGCCGACTATGCGAGAGCAAAGAGCGAGAGGAAGGAGAGAAATAGAGAAAGAGAGAGGGTGCTGATGTGGTCTCCATAACATGTGGGGTCCACGTGGGTCCCACGCTGAGTCAGCCGTCACGTGGGACAAAACCAGGGTCAAAACCGCCGAGGGACCTATTGTGACCGTTTTGTAAGTTGGGGGACGCCGGATGTCCGGTTTTGCGGTTGAGGGATGTATCTGGCTAACAAGTTGAGGGACCTTGCGTGTACTTTTTCCCTGAGTAGTTCACATCTGGTCAGTTGAGATGGGCCAAAGCCCAAAATGGCAAAATCGTGCAATGTCTGGTCTTCCTCTTCTGGGGCTCTCAAACGTCTCGGCTTCTTCTGCTCTCATTTCTTTCTTTTTGTCAGCTCATTATCAACTATCCAATTGCAAATATGCCGCTCGAATAAACCAAACGATGGGGCTGTAGCCTTCTTCTTACTATACTTTTTTTTTTGACAAAAACTCATGTGTTTATATACACATCACTGCTACCAGTACCAGCAAGACTGGGCAAAAGTTTGATGCTAAAATGACATGATCACCTCAAGGTCATTCCATGCATCTTGCATATCATGTCCCACTCCCACAAAAATGCAATATTGGCAAGATTTGCAGGTGGCCTAACCACTCAAATGGAATCCCATGTTCCTATTCACTCGGAGAGACGATGAAAGTACTATACCTACCTAGTGACAAACGTTTTTCTCTCAGAACGCGAAATGGTGATAACTGACCAGCCACTATAGCACTACATGTATGTACCCGTGTTCGTCAGTTGGTGGCCTTGCTTCCTCGTCCAATGCCCTCTTTGCATCTACAAAATGTATGTCATTCTCGTAATCATGAAGATTAGGAATTCACGTCATTCTCAAATAAACCCTGGCAGGATTCTACATAAACATGATTATGACTAGGAATGCACTGAAAAATAATTAGAAACTAATAATTCTGGCTGGGGACTGTGGGAGGAATCAGCCACAGAACATGGTTATTTACCAACCCACAAGGCCCCAACTCAAATTAAGAAGATGGAAGTGTTTTAATTGCTACATCTCTCTCCATGAGAGCAGGTACAATAGCAGGCTATAAGCCAGCTATAAACATATTTTAAATAAATAAAGAAAAAGAGAGAAAAGCAGCGGGCTACAGATCTGTAGCCAGCTGCAACACAGACTTTAAGACGTAATGTATGTATAACATGTGAGACCAGATATTAATAATATAGTAAGCAACTATTGTATAAATTGGCTATTACATTAGTTATAGATGAATTGGAGCCAATAGTGGGCTATACTATTAAACTTGCTCTCAGTGCCCTGTTCTGCACATGTCAATTTCTAGCCAATATTAACAATAATGTTTACTCCACTATATTCTCCTTACCTTTTGCTTTATTTTATCTTACTGCATGCTGCTGCGCGCTTCACTGGTCGGGGTCACTCTCCTTGATGTGATCAGAATGGAATCTGCTTGACTCAATCGTCTTTTCCAACCTCCAGCCACACGAGGGCTAGCTCTCTCGTTGGCTGTGATTTTTGTTAGGTTTTTGGAGCGACGCGAGTGACAGAGATATGCACGCGCGCGATAACTAGTGGTATTAGTATAATCTCTTCTTACGGTGGATATTCTTTACTTGGCGGTAGCCATAGCTAGCTGTGGTGTCTCTGCATGAGTACGACAGTACAAAAAATGACAGTTTAACAGCTGGAAGTACATCAGCGAACTACTACAGCAGGTGATAAGTGCACGAATTCCTCTTGACTTGTTCTTTTTGAACTCTGAAGGAAGAAAATTTACACTGCTGTCAGGTAGATGTGGTCTTTGCTTCTTCATTTATCTGAACAACTGACTTGAAGGATATTT